ATATACAAAACAATTATAGAATAAGTATATGTTTCACTTATACACTCTTATCTTTTAGCCGTATATACAATAGATACAAATAATATTTTATTATTTATGTGAAAATGTCGTTAAATAATAGAAGCTTGATGGGTGTATTAGGTAAAATATGGACCCACCCCACATGAAGGGTGATGCATGTGATTAGATGTTGGTGGAAGTCGAAGGATTTAGGTAAAATAAAGTTAAATTTGTGTGATGGAACGGTTTAATAAAGACTTTTAAGTGAATTATTTAAAAGGTTTTAAGTTCGAATCATTTTTTAGTTGTTAATACTTAATAAGGGTAGTCGTTGAAATTTTTATTTAACCAAAAATTTTAAGATCTCAAAAAATAAGTTAAGATGGACGTAAACTGATAGGATTACTTTTAAAATTGGCTGGCTTCTTGTATAATTCTCTTGGAAAGTAAAAGAGAGAGAGAGAGAGAGAGAGAGAGAAAGAATTGAATAAATATCTGATGGAAGGTTCTAATGTCTGTACCTAACACCTTTGAAAAAGAAAAGGGAAAAAGCTTTTTTTTTTTCTAATTGGGAATTGGCCATTCTCTTTTGGATCTTGATTTCAAACTATATATATAAAATAGCTACTAACTCAATGTCATTTTTCTTCTTTGGGTGATTATACCCTAATCAAAACTATATAATATAATAATCCTCTCTTGTTTAATTCACCAACTCAACACTCATCCCTATAATTGATTTTAATATAAAGTTGGTATAACATCCATCATTATTATTGTTATTATTTTGGTTCTTGGGTGGTTCATGAAAGGTGCAGCCAAATATTTAGTGAGAGGTCAGATCAAAATTCATCGGACCCCAGTGACATGACTCTCACTTAATTGCAGTTGGTAGTTCTGCATTTATTTTTGATTTACTCTTTTTGGGTCACTCCCCAGTCCCCACTTATTATACTCCATCTACCACAATTCCTATTCATTTATTTTATAATATGGTTCTCAATTCATCAATTATCATTAACTCTTCGATTTGTATTTAGGTTTAGTTATAAGAGCAAGCAACTTTTTTTCACCTAAAAATGATTTAATGATATTTTTCTCATTCATAAATTTTTAAAATATCATTTTATTATTCAAATTTATATTCCAACTATGATTAGAGAACAAACTTAATCTAGACTATTGGAGCTTTTGAAAACGAGAGACTAATCAGTCTTTTGGTGGTAGAAGATTAAATTTTGATGGTTAGGATTTATCAAACTTTGACTTGGGAGAGGCTGCTACGTAAACCCTAATCGCTCGATTGACACCCTCGACAAGAATAAGGTTTGAAGGATTATAGTGAGTGATGATCGAGAAAGAGAATGATGATAGTGTGGGATAGCAATGACACCGAAATTAAAAAATAGAATATAAATTTAGATAATAAAATTATTTTTTAAAAGTATCATTAAGTCATTATTTTGACGGGAAACAAATTGTTTACTCTAATTATAATTATAAATATATGATGGCCTATTACTATTAGTTTAGTTTAAGTACTTTTCTCCAATTCATAATTGTGACGCACCATACAATGGTTTGCTCATTTCGAGAATCCAACTCGAGAAATATCGACACCTAAACTAGGTAAACTTTTGTTTGGTAGATTTCTAGAACTAATTTATTATTAATTAATTACTGATTTATACTAATTTAATCAATTAATTATAACGTTTAAGTCAACAATATTTTAATTACACCTCCTTCATATCCATTGTATCTCTCTATACAACTTGGACAATTGGCCAGGTTTTCATTTTGAACCGTCGTGTTCTTATTAATTTTATTTTACCATACAAGAAGCTGACGCTTAAAGCCGAATTCTTTATCTCATTTCTATCTTCAAATATATCCAAAGTAAACACTTACTAGACTTTATCAAATATACTATGACGGGTGTCCGGACCAACTTGCGTTTGTCTCAACTAATCTTCCAAAACTCTAGAATTATTGATCAGAAAAAAACCCTAGTGACCATCTCTATTAGTATCTAGAACATGAAACCTGTTTTTGCTCTTCTACTATTAGATCACCCAATATTCAAAGAGTAAATTTCAGTATTCTATTTGGCAGGATTTAGACCCTAATGGACCTGAACCTCCGGGGTAAATGTGATAACACATATCAAAGCAAGCTGATAAGAAACCAGAAAAGCAAAGGAGACAAAACGTTTTAAAACATCAAAACGTTTTCTACTGTGCAGCTCATAAATGGGGTGCAACAGTGGTTGAAGAAATGAAAAAGCATGCATGCACTAAAATTTCAATAGTAAAGATAAGAATGGGGGGGCCATGGAAAAGACGACAGACAAGGGCATGTTGTTACCAAAAACCAAATATGTAGATAGAAAGAAAGAAAGATGACTATTAATGAAGAGACAGAATCGACCCGTCGTCGAGTTGGGGGCAAAAGCAAAAAATATAAACCTAAACCTAATCCAAAACGTTTTGAACAACAAAAAGGAGATACTAAGATTACTATCCATATTAATAATCTCTCCTCCTGCCTTGAAAGAAACAAAGCAATAAAATTTAAAACCTAGTTAGGGTTTTTCCAAGTTTAAATTTGATTGTGGGGTTGGTTGATAATTTAATGTTTGGTTGGTAGAAGGACGGTACTATGGCCAGGCCATGCCATGCCAATTTTAGTTTCTTCACGCATTTTATAATAAATAATAAGATTTTATTTATTGATCTGGTGGAAGAGATAGGTTACCCACCACTCCATCTTCTTTATCATTTCTCCTCCTCTCACTGCTTATCCATTTCTTTGTACATGGAAATTCTACTTTTTTCTATAAAGGACAAACCCTTCAAAGAATCAAATATAATAAAATAAAAGCAGTCTCAAAACATGGCAAAATTTAAAAAAAAAAAAAGAGAAAACTGATGTCTAACTGAGAAGCTAATCATCTTATATATATAGTCACATGAATCAACATGTTATATATATAAAGATAATTTTCTTCAAAAAAGAGCTGGAGAAGTTAAACTAATCTTTAAAAAATTTGTGTATTCGATAAAAGGTAGAGATGAATCTCTCCTACTGNTGTTTACTCTAATTATAATTATAAATATATGATGACCTATTACTATTAGTTTGGTTTAAGTACTTTTCTCCGATTCATAATTGTGACGCACCATACAATTGTTTGCCCATTTCGAGAATCCAACTCGAGAAATATCGACACCTAAACTAGGTAAAATTTTGTTTGGTAGATTTGTAGAACTAATTTATTATTAATTAATTACTGATTTATACTAATTTAATCAATTAATTATAACGTTTAAGTCAACAATATTTTAATTACACCTCCTTCATATCCATTGTATCTCTCTATACAACTTGGACAATTGGCCAGGTTTTCATTTTGAACCGTCGTGTTCTTATTAATTTTATTTTACCATACAAGAAGCTGACGCTTAAAGCCGAATTCTTTATCTCATTTCTATCTTCAAATATATCCAAAGTAAACACTTACTAGACTTTATCAAATATACTATGACGGGTGTCCGAACTAACTTGCGTTTGTCTCAACTAATCTTCCAAAACTCTAGAATTATTGATCAGAAAAAAACCCTAGTGACCATCTCTATTAGTATCTAGAACATGAAACCTGTTTTTGCTCTTCTACTATTAGATCACCCAATATTCAAAGAGTAAATTTCAGTATTCTATTTGGCAGGATTTAGACCCTAATGGACCTGAACCTCCGGGGTAAATGTGATAACACATATCAAAGCAAGCTGATAAGAAACCAGAAAAGCAAAGGAGACAAAACGTTTTAAAACATCAAAACGTTTTCTACTGTGCAGCTCATAAATGGGGTGCAACAGTGGTTGAAGAAATGAAAAAGCATGCATGCACTAAAATTTCAATAGTAAAGATAAGAATGGGGGGGCCATGGAAAAGACGACAGACAAGGGCATGTTGTTACCAAAAACCAAATATGTAGATAGAAAGAAAGAAAGATGACTATTAATGAAGAGACAGAATCGACCCGTCGTCGAGTTGGGGGCAAAAGCAAAAAATATAAACCTAAACCTAATCCAAAACGTTTTGAACAACAAAAAGGAGATACTAAGATTACTATCCATATTAATAATCTCTCCTCCTGCCTTGAAAGAAACAAAGCAATAAAATTTAAAACCTAGTTAGGGTTTTTCCAAGTTTAAATTTGATTGTGGGGTTGGTTGATAATTTAATGTTTGGTTGGTAGAAGGACGGTACTATGGCCAGGCCATGCCATGCCAATTTTAGTTTCTTCACGCATTTTATAATAAATAATAAGATTTTATTTATTGATCTGGTGGAAGAGATAGGTTACCCACCACTCCATCTTCTTCATCATTTCTCCTCCTCTCACTGCTTATCCATTTCTTTGTACATGGAAATTCTACTTTTTTCTATAAAGGACAAACCCTTCAAAGAATCAAATATAATAAAATAAAAGCAGTCTCAAAACATGGCAAAATTTAAAAAAAAAAAAGAGAAAACTGATGTCTAACTGAGAAGCTAATCATCTTATATATATAGTCACATGAATCAACATGTTATATATATAAAGATAATTTTCTTCAAAAAAGAGCTGGAGAAGTTAAACTAATCTTTAAAAAATTTGTGTGTTCGATAAAAGGTAGAGATGAATCTCTCCTACTGTCCTACACATGAACATGATAATAAGTAGTTGTTACAAATAGAGAAAATATTAAAATATGTATATATATATATATACTGGTAGTACCAAAAGACAATCATATAGCATGGCCCTTTTGACGTTCTGGTGGGTGGGGGATCTGACAAACCCTAACTTTTACCACTTTTATCTTGGAAAAGAGTGGGAAAAACCAAGAGAAAAGGACTTTGCTACAGCACTCAAATGGAGATAAAATAAACGCAGAGATTTAAAGAACAGAATATGTATTTATATTTATATATATACGTAATATACTCCAATAAATGTAAAATGTTCACCGATTGATCATCTGTACTAGTACTGTACCACTATTCACTAATTAAAAATAAACATACAAATTAGAGAGCAATCAGAAAAAAAGAAAAAGAAAAGGAAAAATAATTGGAGAGATTTGAAACTAATTTATATTAATCTCATATTCAATTCTCTCCTTTCTGATCTTCATCATCAGACTTCAGCTACATGATTCAACCCCAGTTATGTGTTTGTTTATTTCATCTCCAAGCTTCTGTAATCCAAAACACCTCCTTTCAATCCTAAGAAATCATAACAAGTGTTGCTGGTGCTACTGCTTCCAATTCCAATTCCAATGCTACTCATGCAACTGCAATCTTTACTATTTGGTAACCCCAAACTGCAAGCGAAACAAAGACTACTACTTCTCACTCCATTTGTCAATGGCTCAGTTTGGTTTTGTTGTGATGATGGAGGACTGATTCTCAGCTCAAGATTCAAGTCTGGACACCTTTCTTGAACTAATACTTGATGATGATGATTATTCTCCTCTTTGCAAACAAATCCCCCACTTGTATTTTTCTTTTCTTTATTATTATTACTGTTAATAATAATCTCTTCTTTAGCTGCAGAGAAAGATATTGTAGTTGGTGTTGTGACATCTTGAGGTGGCTCATTGAGTGGCCTGTGAGTTGCAGGATCAATTCCTCTGTTCAAAAGCTTCCTCCTTATATGTGTATTCCAGTAGTTTTTTATCTCATTATCTGTTCTTCCTGGTAATCTCCCAGCTATAAGAGACCATCTGTAAGAAAACAAGAAAATAACCCATCAAAACTAAAAATTTTTCAAAGGGTTTGTTTGTAATGGTATATTTGTTAATTGAAATGAAAAAAGAAATGAACTTGACTCACTTGTTACCAAGAAGGCTATGGAGTTTAATAATAAGTTCATCTTCTTCTTCAGTAAAATTCCCACGTTTAAGGTCAGGCCTCAAGTAGTTGATCCAACGAAGTCTACAACTTTTCCCGCATCGAAGAAGGCCAGCAGCTTTAGGGAGTGAGCGCCAGCAGCCTTCACCATGAGCTCTAATATAAGCAATAAGACGATCGTCTTCTTCTTTAGTCCATGCACCTTTGTTTGTGTGAGCCTTTTCACAGCAAGGAGACCTTCCCATTGATAACAATAATAATAACCAAAACAAGTAGTAGTAGAAACTAGTAATAGCTAGAATTAGTAGTAGTACAAGTATAGATTTTCAATTTTGGAAGCAGAAACAGAAATAATGAAGAGAGCTAGAGCTTGTTGTTGTTGTTGTTGTTGTTTTCCTTGTTGCTGAAACATTAAGGCCGGCCCTTGAGAGAAGTCGATGAGTAGTTATATAGGCTGTTGACTAATGGAAAGAGAGAGAGAGAGAGAGAGAGAGAGAGAGAGAGAGAAAGGTAATTGCTTCTAGATGTGAGTTGGTGAGACAGGTTTGAGGGAGTGGCTGGTGGTGGCCTGGCCTTCTCTCTTTAATTTGATGGATATTAGCATATTAGCATATAATAAGTTAAAGGGACATTAACTATAGGTAACCTTTAGGTAGGTGTAAAGTAAGGTATTAATAAAGTATAGACATAAGACAATGTGGATCTTACTACCCTTTTTAATCCACAAAAAAAAAAAAAAAAAAAAAAAAATCTCTCCAATTTAATGATTTTACTTACCCATATCTCTATTCTATTTAGACTTCTCTTATCTATCTCTTGTTGGAACTAACACTGTGGGGCAACTGGGTTTTTTTCGGATTAATGGTATATTGCATCTAAAATTAGATTTACCTTATTGATCAACTAAGTACAAAGTTTTGTCAGTCTTTAAGACTTATATATTATATATATATATATAGTAGTGTACTAAAGAGTGAGTTTAATGATTAATCAGGTTATTAACAGGATTTATAAGGAAGAGATATATTCATATAGATATATAGTTAGTTGTAGTGGGATTTGGAAAAGAAATGTAACAAGTGGATTGGCAATTCTTTTGTACAAGTATGGACATGGTAGTTGTGGTTCTTTATTCTATTGGTACACTATCATGCATGAAGAGAGAGAGAGATGTGTTTTCAGAAGAGTTGGAGGTTGGGTTAAAGGAAGGAAGAAGGATGATGATGGTGAAAGAAAAGAAAAATAAAAAGATATGAAATGAGTGTGGGTGTGGTTGTATGTGGGCTTGGTTCACCTTCCACTTCTTCTTTTTTTTTTTTTTTTTTCTCCCCACCTTGTGGTGCAAGTTTAGGCAACAACAAGGGTTAAGTTGAGTTGGGTTAGGAGAGAGAGAGGGGGAAGGGTTGATTCACCTTTTTGTTGTTATCTCACCCCAAATTGCATATATTATTTGTTACCCCCCACAACAAAGAAAGGACCCCCTCTTTCTCTCATAATCAGTAGTATTATCTCATCAAATTCAAGTTGTTGTGTGGTGGTAAGAGTTAAAGTTGATGGGCAAAGTAGTTTTCATAGATGATAGGCCTGTTTGTAATAATTATCTCAATGCCCATATATTTCATTTCATTTCACCTACTTTTTACCCCTTCTTTCTGACTCTCCCTCTCCCTGCACCTAGTCCACCTGCCCTCTTCTTTTTATTTCCCTTCCTCTATGCACTACTACTTTCTATCTGAGCTTTATCCATATATATGTTCTTCTCTCCTCTTCCCCACTTATTTCACAAACTGCATTTCTTTAAGCTTTATATAATATATATGATTGATTCAACATATACCAGAATTCATTAATTAGTTGAAGATTGATCCTTTTATGATACATGTGGTGTTGCATCCAATACGACAACCCAGTTAGGTTGTTAGGTTGTTTGTGTTTTGTGTTGTGTCCCTACAAACAATTAAACACCCAACACAACCCACATGATGCCCACAAAACAGAATAAAACACTTACATTTTCTTCTCATTTACGTGATTGGTTAAGGGTTTGGATCAGGATTGGCAATATGAGAATCAATGTGTTTTTTGGTGACAGCCGCACATCTACCACGTGGACTGTCATCTGCTTCGGTATTCTTCTAATCCCTAGGATCTTATGCTTTTCCCCCCTCCCCCTCCCCCTCCCCCTCCGCCAACCCCAAATACCATTCTTAACAATATATATATATATATAAATTCTATTAGATGGATGAGTGAGCCTACCCTTTGGCTGGCGTTCCATGTGGGACTCTTCAATTTAGCGGTGTGTCAGTTTCAGTGACCCACTTAAGGATAAAGTTTTCCTTCAATTAATTATTTTAAGTTTTTAGTAGCATCACTTATATGCTAAATAACCATTTCACTTACGCAAAAACAATATCTACCTACTTCATATTCACATATTTTTCTCTCCCTAATATACATGATATAAGCCCTCAAATATTTTGTGAATTCAACAGGAAACCATCTATAATAGACAAATCCAATAAAAGGGTATAGGAAAAGTGCTTATTTTATGTCTCCCACAAGTCTTATAGGAATTGTTATGAGTATATAAGAACTACACAGCACTCGGCCGGGGGAATACAGGCTACATTGTAGAGATCAATAAAGGGATAGTACATGGTACATTTCATATTTCAATATTTTAATAGTAATCTATCTTGTTCACTTCATCCTTTTACGAACTTCGTAAACGTAGCTTAGTATCACCACTGCAGCAGCGACTGCAACTCCGACTGCGCTTTGAGCCAATATGCTACCGTCTTTTTGAATTATTTTTGAGGAACTTGGAGATAACCCTAGTTCCGAAAGTTTCTTATGCGATGCTGCATAGTCTTTGAAGAATGCATCCTCATCCTGCCATGGGCCACAAATTGGGAAGAATAAGTAGGAAATCATCATACTTGCGAAATTGGATAACTTGAAGAAAGAAGCTGGGACAAGATCAAATAACAAATTATGACTATAATTATCTAGGGAGGCAAAAAGACGTTACTTTGGGGGAAAGCTAATTAGGAGAAACTTGGTATAAAAGAATCACATAATGACAGAAGTCAACTCATCAAGTTCAATCAAACCAGCTATGAACTTCTGATCCTAAACCTAACTAATTTATTCAACTCCAACAGTCTGGTCCTCAGGAGTTGGGTAACAGTTAGGAATTTGACAGGAAACAACTTTATTCAGACACAATATCCTATTTCCAACTTCCAAGGTGGTCATACCAACCTTAAGGGGTCCTAGTTGCTGCTGCATAGTATTGGGAATAAGTTAGGTTTGATCCAATACCCAACTAGTCACCAAGCAAATATTTAAAAGTATGAACATGATAAACATTAATCAGAAATATATGTAACATCATCGACCAGGTTTCAGGTTGGCCAAAAATCCAAGTCTTAATCCAAAACCTAATCTATTCATAAGAGAGGTTAGACTCAGGTTAGATGATTCATTTGATAATTGGGTCAGCATGTGGGTGGCTGGCTCAGATTCTGCAACCTCTACAGGTTCATAGGTGTGCTTTGTCAAATAGTATGTAAAAGCTAATTCAGTTCTATGGGTTGTCACCGTAATAAGAAAACTATATTAAATACTCAGGCATTGACATTGCATATTTAGCACATAAGGAAACATCAACAAAGGTGATTGTCTGCTAAAATCGATAATATTTCATTACAGCATTAAGCCCAGTTGACATGGGGTCATTTAGTCAAGAGAAGTGTATAATACCTTTGTATACAACTCAACATAGCGACGGAACTCAGGGTCTTCAACTAAAGCTTTGTCAGATGGAAGTTGTAATAACCCTTCTGATTCCCCATTCAGTAGTTCCCTAAAATCAACAACAATTGTGAACAATTGATTGAAATAAACACCACATAACTCCCATGAAGAAGATAAAAAAGAATATTTTGCTGAGTAGGGTTTAAGCCTTACACAAAGTATGAGTTATCAAACTTCAGAGGTTCCCTGGTCCAAGGGCCATCAAAACCTGATCTTTCTGGATGAGCTCGTCCCTACACCACAATAGTGAATCAATACATTTAACTCATCTATCCAGTATGCAAAATATTAGGTATAGGTAGAGGAATGTTGAGTTACCAGAGTATGGGCCCCTGAAAGTGCTACTATATCCTTGTCAGACAGACCCATCCGGTAGAAGATGTCCCTTAGATGAGGTGGGCCTACCATCCAAATAAGAAGATAAGTTGAATTTACCACCCAAGCAATGTCATATATGAGCTATTCAACTGATAATGTGCACAGTAACTTGAATATTTCTCAGCTCTAAAATAAAAACTACAGTGATCTGAATGCTTAGGCAGATGAGATTTCAAATAGAGCAGCTATTGGACCTACTCTACCATGGAAATATTTTTTCGCACTAATAGATCTTCCTCAAAATGGGTAAGCCCAAGCTCTGTGCCATCTAGAGGTATTCTGCTTTATGAAATTTATTATGTTCCATCACGGCCAATCTTAAACGACCATGGCAAAAAAGCATTACTAAAGAACACACCATTAAGATGCAAGAAAGGGAACCCCAAAATAAATAAAAGAGATCACATGAACATTATAAACTGAAATGAAGAACATAAGATTCCAAATGCTCTCAGTTCATTCTTCTCTGTTAACTTGGGGTAATCAAAGCGTAACATAATTAGATAACAGAACCGATAATCAAGTCAAATTTTTTTAAATATTCACAAATAAACTTCCTGGTGACCATTGCCTGGAGGTTACAAGTCATGCATGATGTAGCATCAAAAAACCAAATTATCAAAAACTGTCATCATAAACAGCTTCATGATTTTACAAAGTTATCATTAACTGAATAGATAAAGGTACCTTTTTTGGCATCTGGAAGACGCCCTTCCTTTGGAGAAACTTTTGAATCCTAAAGAAAAATGGACATGTAATTAATTAAGAGCAATTTATGAAACCAACTATGTAATCAAGAAGCTACAATATTGTACCTTTCTACCAGGGACAAAGTCAATGGTGGGCCCCCCAGTAACCTCAACCGCCACAACACCCGCAAGCTAAAATAAAAAAATTAATCATCAAAAAAAAGTTTCGATTTTGCATAACTCAAATTTATTCTTGAAAATTGTGAGACATGAATACACCGTAGCCATTAAGCTTAGTGACCAAACAAAGAAAAATGAACTCTGAATGAAGGTGATGGAGATTCACTCTAATATTAACTAAGCATGAACTGTATAGGAAATAGAAAATGGAAAAGAAAAGTCCTTCTAAAAATACATTTGGCATTAACCGGTCAGCAGCATATTCAGAGATTCCCCCAGAGTTACACTGATTTGTTAAACTATATCATACTATATTATTCCCAACATGCCTCAGAATATCCCTTCAGCTTTCAATATTGGTCCAGGCCTTAATATCAAATCTATAGTAAACAGTAATAAAGCTACACTGCACTGTAATGAAATGATGCAAACCAATCCTTGTATCTTCACAACTAAAATAGAAT